AGGAGGATGCAACTTTGTGGAGCTCGGTCACAAAGTCAAAGAAAGTCGGGCCCAGTTAATAAGTGAAATCAAACCAAAGAGGCACAGAAGAAACATTTCTAGATAATTAAGGTCATAGCATAGATCTTGTGGTGTCTACTCTGTGGCAGGAATTTTAATTCCTGCCACAGAGCAGGAAGCTCACTTTAGTTTTCATTTTTTGACTGTCCTGCTCCTACAAACAGACATTTCAGAGGAACTCAGGCCATCACTCTTGGTAATCCCATTATGGGGTAAACGGCAGAATTTTAGAAATAGTAGCTCTGTGCTTTTTGAATGGCTAAGTATTCCCACATCTGGGGGTTTCTTTATTTAACTTCTGCCTCAAGTTTTAACTAGGCTGAAGTATTATGCATTGCAATGCTACTTCATAAGAAAGGACACAGTTCACTATGAATTTGAATTTGGTTAAAGTTTCTTCATTACCAGCAAATGTTTCCTTTCATTTTAAAGGCATTGACACATGGACACTTTAGAACATCACAAGTGTCCAGCCAGGAAACCGCTGAGTTCACAATGTAAAAAAACACCCTTTTAGTAACATGAATGTGAATGAGAAGAAATGTTGCCCTGGCACATGACAGTGCCTTTCCATTGGCACAGGATCACTGGTCTCATGAAGAGTGGATCCAGAACAGTGTTTTGGCAGCACAAAGAGAGTGTTCTTGTGTAAAAGCAGAACAGATTTTAAAATTCGAAGTCATGTGCAATTAGGGGGGGCACTTTTTCAACCAGAATGCCATGGTTTCACATTCCATAACTCTAAATATTTGTGGCTTCAGCTCCCTTTTAACGCTGCGCATATGATTTACTTATGGGAATTCATGACAATGCCCTTAAAGGTCACCCAAAACTGATATTTCACTTTATGGTTGGCAATGGTGAATTGAATCACCTACTCGATTCTTAGAACTTTCCGTAATAGATATCTAGCTGATGCTTCTATTCCATTCTGCAAGACCATAATGTGGAAGTCACTTTCTTGCCAGTGGATTCCCCATATACAGTACATGATGAAAAGTCCAAAGGGGAGCCTGACACCATCAATTGGCATTTATAGTGTGCTGGAATGCTACTTGTAATACCTGTGCAGGCTGTTTAAAGTATCCAATGAAAATGTTTAGGAATGAGTGGGGAGGGGGCTATAAAATATACATAAACTTATATTTATGTCTTCAACTGCCTAGAGTTACCAGTAAAATATATGCTTAGATACCTTCAGGGAAAACCAACACGGCCACCTTAATGCAGATCTTCTATAATGTACAGTATATAGTTCGTTTTCCTTTCCCTTCCCCTCCCCGCTGCTCTGTTTATCTGCTAGGAGTTAAAAAAAAAAGAAGCCCTGTGTAAGGCCGGAGTAGTAGTTCACACAGGGTTATGGATTACCCATATGTCAGCACAGATTGGCCCAGCCCTGTCACATGGAGTGAGTCACACGTGCCTTCATACCCCAAAGTACTGGGTATTTCCTTTAGGTCTTGGGTCTGAACGGACTAATGTGAGAGTGAAGGGAAGGTAAGTATATGCTGGTGGGGATGGGACAATTACAGCAAACCTTTTGCCTTAACACCAGTATTCTTTATAGTGTGGGGACCATACATTTATATTTGTGAAGCTATTAATAAGTTAATATTAGGAAGTAACTTGTTTTTTTTAGGAAGTTATTTTAAGAGACCCTGGCACCAGATCATAAATTTCAACAGCAATCTTCCCATTAGAATATATTTGCATGTAGCTTATTTTATGCATGTTATTTACCTTTTAAAAGCCCCCCTTGTTCAGGCATCTGAAAGGCCAGAGATTTCTGCATGACTCTGCCAACTTGTATGTGGTGTCAGGAGCTCCAGCAGAATCAGAGCTGTCTCTTAAGTGACATTCTGTAGTGTTGCACTTTACTTCTTCCCAACAGTTACAAAAGAGGTTACGTAGGGAGAGGAGTTGAGGGAAAGCTGGGCCAACTTAGACAGTAATTAAACACTCACAGAAGTGGAGAGGCCTATGACATGCTAGGAGGGAGGGGGAACTATGGCTGTGCTATGGAATCAACCCTTCCTGAAGTGGTCAAAATTCCTACCTCAGAGGCACATTACAAGTGAAGAAAAATTGTTTATGAAAAGTAAAAATGTGGCAAGTAAGGATTTAGAATACTTTTATTATTCTGTGTTTTTACCTGCCATTTTTTTGCAGGTCTTAAGTAATAAGGAACTGAACACTAGAAGGGCGGTGTGGCAGCACACGGCAGTCGTCCATGTGCCTCTGTATTCATGTGTGTCATAGTTCATACACTTCCACGTGTCTAGGATTCCACTGCTGTCTTTAGCTGTGTTATGCTGTACATACAGTAGTACCGTTTCTCGCCAAGCCCACAGCCAGAGTGGGGAACAATAACAGCTATAATTAACACCAATGAAAATGTCAAATCCAGCTCCCTACTCAGGTAGTCATAAAAAGATTTAATGTACCTGGAATCTGTCTTCTGGGTAACGCTGCATATTACAGGTAAAAGCCAGGGAGGAATTCAATCCACTCTGTCACGGAACATTAAATACATACACGTCTTTCTTTTCTGTATATTGTAAATCATTTTTGTTCTGTTACTTTGACAACAACAACAGGTTACATTCCTCTATGGGGTGTAGATTATGTGTTTTTCCCATACCTCTTTTTAGCCTGTGTGTGATCTGAAAATAATCTTTATTGTACTTAGTGTTACACCCAGAGCTGTTACCATTTGTCTGGCAGCCCTTTGCATTTTAAATCAGATTCAAGTCAAAAATACTCTTTCAAGGATTCCCAGCTATTTTCATAGTTTAAGCCCAATCAAAAATATGCGAGTTTGTGGGCACCCAACCATCACACCTATATGAGCTTGTTGGACATCCCATTTAAAACCTATTACAATTAATTTTGAGTTGCGCCCCTTCCTCCCTTTGAGGCCATAACAGCATCCACTCCTCTGGGAAGACTTTCCACAAGATTTTGGAGTGTGTCTGTGCGAATGTGTGCCCAGCCAAAAAGCATTTGTATGGTCAAGAAAACCTGGCCCAAAAATAGCATTCCAATTCATCCCAATTGTGTTCAGTAGGGTTGAGGTCAGGGCTCTGTGCAGGCCACACCAAAGTAGTCTTTATGGAGCTGGCTTTGTGCACAGGGGTACAGCCATGCTGGAACAGAAAAGGGCTTTCCCCAGTATTTTGCCATAAGGCTGGAAGGACATCCACATACTACTGTTCATATAGTATAGGTGTGTTAGTCAGGTGTGCACAAACCTTTGGCCATATAGTGTATATATTGCTATCTGTATAGCTATCTGTCAATTAATATATGTCAGATTTGAAAATGTTCACCAGCGCTATAGTATCACTCTGTACCACTTTTTTCAACCCTCTTGCCAGATAAAAACAAGTAACAGAAGAAGGGAGATTCAGAAAACTCTCCTGAAACACAGTTAACGGAGCTGTTAACCGTGTTTCAGGGGCATTTTATGAATGCAGTGGGCCTGTGAGCAAAATCATAGGTTGGGCCACCTTCCTCAAGAAAAAGAAAATGTAAAAATTGGGCCTGGTTTGCATTGCACTGAAAGTTGGGCGTGACTTAGTAATAACCCCCTGCATGACGACAATATAAACCCCCAGCATTGGTGTCAGTGATGACAATAATAACCAGCCAGCATTGATGTCAGTGGCCGTAATAATAACCCCCCAGCATTGGTGTCAATGATGACAATGAAAACCCCAAGCATTGGTGTCAGTGATGACAATATAAATACCCAGCTTTGGTGTCATTGATGACAATAAAAACCCCAAGCATTGGTGTCAGTGACAACAATAATAAACCTAGGGTTTTCACCCGACAGTCCAGGTTTTGAATGCAGTGTCCGGGTTTCATGGCAACAGAAACGCGGACACAAGATGTCAGGCAGACAGGGGCAACCAAAATTAAGATAGAAGCCACTGCCCCACACTGAAAATAGTCTCAACTGTGATATTTACATATGAATGGGTGGCGCTAATTACATATGAATAAGCTGCGACTCATTCTCCCCCAAAAAATGTCCGCACATTGCCAGAGTGTTCGGGTTTCCCTTGAAGAAAAGGTGGGAACCCTAAATAAACCCCAGTATTGGTGTCAGTGGCCGCAGTAACTACCCTTCAGCATTGGAGACTGCAATATTAACCGCCAGCAATGGTGTCTGGCAGTACTATTAACTCCCCCTCTCCTTTGCATTGCTGGTTAGTGACAGTGCTGTTAATCTCCCTTCTTTGCATTGCTGGTCAGTTGGAGTGCTGTTAACCCCCACCTCCACCGTTGGTGGCAGTGCTGTTAACCCCCTTCTCCTCCATTCACATTGGTGGTTCTTACCTGATCACACCCTCCTGTGCCACTCTCTGTTTCTCTCTTCCCTGTACAGCTGGGTCTGTCCCGTTGGACGGAGATCACTCCATCTGAGAGTGCTAACTACAGCAGGAGTTATTTCAGTGCTGGAATGCAGAGATCATTCCAGCCCTGTGTGCAGTGAGTGAGAGCACAGTGGTCCCCATTCCTTTTCGGACCCGTGTGCACTGCAGGCACACATTATGGATACGGCACTGCTGTGTTTACTTACTCAGCTTTTGTTATTAGCCTTTATTGTTAAAATGAGTGCCACCACCTTGGTGATAGCTAGTGCTTACCAACCTTACCTCTTTTATGACTTTCTTTTTTGTAAAGTCTTTGAAGGTTATAAATATTAGGTTTAAATACAATTTCTTCCCACTTCTTTAAAGCGGCTAAGGATAATCAAATGATTTTTATATGATTGTGCTTTAATATTTAGGTTGGCACGAGCTCAGTGGCTCTTTACAGACATTGAACATTTCTTAAGAGGAAAATATTAGAGGAAAATATTTATATAAAGCACATGTTTGAGATTGCTTGGCTTTTACTCTTCATGTTATTTTGTACCTCTTTCTTTGCAGCTGTATATCCAGGCCAAGCGCCCAGAGAACCTCGCTATTCTGGTGGCCAGAGCAGATTATCCTTCTCATCCACTGAGGCTGGTGGGGGTGAATAAAGGGGCACCATACCAGCAGTATCAGCCAGTGGTGATGTTACAGCAGCCCTACGCTATCCGCTGGGAAGGTCAATCTCCAAAGGAGGTCATCCTATACCCGATTAACTTCAACAGGTATTAAAGACATTCTACTGTATGCCCTAGATAACGCTTAGCTGGCCATGCACATTACAGTTTGTGCAATATTCTAGATTTAAAAACAACTATATAGTGCCAGACTGCCTACCTGATTGGATACACATTTGAATGATGGTTTGTGGGGTGACATAAATTTGGTAATTGCAAAGGAAATTTTACAGAGATTGTAGAGATGCTGGGATATATTGGTGAGCTTGGAACACATAGTTACATAGTTGTTAAGTCCATCCAGTTTAACCTATATGTGCGTATCTGTAGGAGTCAGTAAGAATTCCATCAGCCCTAAAACTCATCTCATGCATTTGTGTTTACGCTTAACTTGGCCATACATTTCTGGCCAACTTTCATTCACCCTGTGACCTGAACGAGAGAAATCTAGCAGATTCCTCCATCCATGCTAAAGAGTCCCGGTGAATGTTTTCTGACAGCCACTTTAATCCATATTGTAAATGGCTAGCATGCTACAGCACCCTTTGCCACCTCACTTTTGGGGAAAATGATGGAAATACAATTTAAAAGATGCTGGATGAAATACCAGGGTGTAGCATCCCCCAGAAGTACCTATGCATTAGTCTACAGTGTGATTATAGGTGTTAGTTATTGAGGTTTGTCATTTAAATGTTAGTAATTAGTGGTGCCACATGCACAGCATGAGTCTATCATGTTGGATTTCCTAACGGCATACGTGTGGCTCTGGCGGTCTGTGACAGTCCCCGATGACACGTGACAAAGGCAATTTAGACATAAGCTGTCCCTGTTTGCCTTCACAAATAATTAGTTGCATTCTATGGCTTTCAGTGAAGGCTGTCAGTGCGGCTGTGTGTCTGACTTTTTTCCAGGCGATGATTCTTTGTTCTCTGTCAATTCTGATAAGTGCCAGAACTCCCTGCACAAGTACAGCCCATAAGTGTGTGTTATGGCTGCCAACATATTTCACAAAACAAACTCATTTCAGACAGAAGCGTATGGTAGCTCTTCGGCATAAGCAGCTCGGTAACAGATGCAGGGAGAGAAGTGTCAGCATGGAGACACAGGGCTGACAATATACACAAGCAGGACTGCTAGATTGCCTTAGTAGGGTGGGATGAACCCCGAAGACGGGCCATCAGGGCACAGCAGTCATTCAATCACTCTGGTGCTGCCTACTGAAGGGATTTACCTTGTGCCTACAATCGCCTTGTTAATATGTGTGATTCTGTCTGTTTGTGTTCATAAACCTCAATACTTAGCAAGCAGTTTCTTTTAACTGGATTGTACTGCAATACAAAAAAAATCCTACCCAGCAAAATTATATTGATTGTTCTGAAGAGTGATCTAGATCGTTTCCCTGTACTTTATGGGGCCTATTTCTATAGGGTCAAACCTCTTGGTACATCACTTTGTTTAGTGTACTCTGTTCATATCTGTATTGGAGCAGTTTATAAAAGTGGATGTTAATGGCATCTGAAATCAATAACCTGCCACGTTTGCATTTTTTGAATCCGTTAAATTGTAACTGCTTTAACCGAATTTGTAAAATTGTGAGCAGGCTTATGAACAGGTAATATGCTGAATTGGTTCATATTGTTTGCATAATGGTATAAAGAAGAGCTTCATAATAGTATAAGGAAGAGCTCCAGTCAATAAACAGTATATTTGGGGACATAAGGGGCATTTGGCTGCTGCCAGGACACTTCAGCAAGGGGGTGATTACAGTCCCACAGTACAGCTGTGCCCTACATATAGGTCCCTGTTAGTGTGGTTAGTTCAGCAGGCTGGAATTAAAGTGATTCTCTCTGCAGACAGCCCACAAACCCTTCTGAATACCAATACTGTTCACCTTTCAGTGTGAAACCCTTCTAAGTGATGTAAAAATATGAGAGCTGCCACTGGTGACTGTTTAAAGGTGCAAGCTCTGGGGCTCACATACTGGTCCTACATACCTTACCTAGTGAGAGCCTCAATCCTGCAGCAGAGACTGCTCACCTCTCTCCCCTACACTCTGACAGTGGACAGTACCTCGGCGTCCTCACATCTAATGCTAATGCACTGTATTAGACATGATGAAACATGGGTAATTAAATCACCAAAGCCCGGGGGAGAAGAGGCTGCGTGGACCAGTCTATCAGCCAGGCAGGAAGGAGGATTTTTTTTTTTTTTTTAGATCCTAGACCAAAGCAAGCAGTTTACCCACTGCAAGGGTTAATTTTTTGATTGTACCCAGAGTTGTTCATTAAAGTCTCATGAAAATGATATAATACTTGTTTGCTTTCATGATATTGACCCATACTTTGACTGTGTAGTATTGTACCCATACAGCATGCATAGCCATAAGTGACACTTGTGTTTTTCATATGTTTTATTACCGAAATCCATACTGACTTAGAAGGCCCATATGAAAGATTGTACATTTTCATATAAGTTTCACAGTTTTGTCCATTTGCACATTGTGTGATTGTTAAATTAAAGTGATATAAAGTAAAATTTGCATGAAGAATACTCATTAGGAGGTGTTACTCTGCAGAATCAGTGATGAAAAAAAGATTTGGGTCTACTCGTAGACCACAGACTTAGACAAAGCATGCCAGGCTAAGCCACAGCAAACAAAGCAAGCAGAATACACTCATGCATTAAAAAGGGTATTGATTTGGGGGATAAATCAGTACTTATACCCCTATACAAAATACTGGTCCGGTCCCATCTTAAGTATGCAGTACAGTTCTGGTCACCAATCAACAAGAAGGATATCTTTGAATTAGAAAGTGTTCAGCAAAGGGCAACAAAATTAGTAAGGGGATTGGAGGACCTCGGGTATGAGGAACGATTAAGTAAATTAGATCTTGGATAAGTGGTGATTAAGAGCAGACATAACCATTATCTAAAATGAATCAATGGTGACTGTAGTGATGGGAACAGGCTGTTGAATCAAAGGTCCTTGATATGGACATGCAACCACAACTTGAGGTTGGAGCAAAGGAGGTTTAATCTGAAATTGCACAGGGGCTTCCTTATGGTTCGAGCAGCAAAAATGTGACCCTTACCTTCACCTGATAGCGGTATCCGCAAAGAGTGCTGACAATGTCAAAAAAATGTCTAGATGCCTTCCTCAATTGGCACAAAATACAGGGGTATGTATATTCTTAGAAGACTCAAACTGAAACTCACACACACATATAGGTTTGACTGGATGGACTGTCTTTTTTGCAACCTTACAGTATCTCCTATATAGGTATTATCTATTGAAAGGAACATACCATAAGTACCTATTGACAATCTCCCATTGGACTGTAGAGTTATTAATGGGTGTGCAGAGCCAGGGATGGTAGCTGCTCTTTGTCCCAAGCTGTATATTTGGTGCTCTGTAACACCATATTAAGTATAGCTCTGTTTGCATGGACCGGCTTACCAGTATCTGTTGGGGCTTTGTTGGTAGCAAAGGAAGGTACGTTTCATTATCAGTCTCAGTGACACATAAATGTATCCTTCAGTTACACAGTTCTGTCATCATGTCAGCACATTATAATAACGTTCTAATAACAGCCGGGTTTTCATATTCAAGCAATATTGCTGCATGCATTTTCTGTTGAAACAAAGTGTCAATGTGTATCTCTGTCTCTGACCCAAATCATGGAACAGAGTTTGTTGAAGTGATGAGTCATTTGTTTCTCTTGTGTAGAGGCGTAAAGGAAAATGGTGTCATTCTTTAGGGAAAATTCTAATATGGCCTTGGTTTTATTATTAATGTAATAGAATGAGGGATGAAGCGTGTTTGTTTCATGTTCATTTTGAAAAGCTCAATTCTATTACATTGTTGTGTCAGACGTTTTAATGCCATGTAAGGCTGATGGGAAGCATCTGTGCCCTTTTCATGCTCCATGCTTCTAAAATGAATATTTGGATATTTACTGATATTGGGCAGCATGTTATCCATTCCTTGTGTATTCATCAGTACCCAGGACATTGTGCAGTGTGTTCTGCTGTGCGGTCATCATAGACACTTAAAGTGACATTAAAGTCAAAAATGTTTTCCCCTCCCCCAATGTTAATGAAAGCACTTACCTTAAATTATGGGGTCTATTCACTAAGCAGCCAAAGGATCTAGCCGTAGCTTCAGCCGATCCTTCGGCTAGCTTCGGCCCCAGGACCCCTTCGGTTCAGTGCTGCTTTTCACATTTTCGGACGGGAGCGCGAAGGGAAGACACAGGTAAATTTAAACTGCTTTTAAAGCGTTTTCTTTCTTTTTATTTTTTTTACACTTTTTGCATATATCTACTGCTTGCTAGTAGTAGAAATATGCAAAAACACTGGAGGCTTTAATTATACTTTAACCTTTCAATGGTTAATAATGCACTGGAGGTTTAACATTATAGCTAAAAGTGACACTAAACTCAGGAATGTATCTTATTTGGGTATCACTCGGCTGTAGAACCTCAAATCATCTCTGAATTGGTGCTGACTCTATACTTCCTTCTGGAGGGGGGCTACTTTTGTTCCCCATGGTCCCTGTGTGTGTTGTAAAGTAGTCACCGCTCCAAGCTCGCTTCTGTGATAGACTACAATCTCAATACAAATTAGTAAACTAAATGTGAGATTGTAGTCCATCACGGGAGCAAGCTTGGATCGGGGGCTACTTTACAACACACACTGGGACCATGGGGGACAAAATTATATGGCTGCAAACACCAATAGAGGCACTGGCATAGGTAGGCAAATTGTTACATCACCTAAAAAATGAAAGTGTAGTTTAGCAGCAAAACAATTGCTCCAGGTAGCTGTTGACCACCAGCGCAGATAGTGCTAAATAATGTAGGGGCCGACACATACCTGCGACAGAATGTAACCCCGTCACGGCTGAATCCTTTGGTTCTACACATTCTGTTCCATGCT